CCCACAACTGCTGATACTGGGCAGTTAGTACAAAGAGACTGAGTGATTATTAAAACTATACTTGAGTTCTCGATTTTTTTTAAAATGCTAGCTTGCACTATACACAGATTATAATTCTGTTGGGTAATAAATGAGCACCTGTCACTTAAATGTTGAGGGAATTCGCTACTTTTGCCCAAGGTAGTATTTGTGTTGCACAGGTTCTACTATTCTCCACCATTCATGCCTCTGAGTATTTTGTGGTTCATGAAAATGCCATTTGTCATTAAGCAAACATTTCTTGTAATTTGAAGACCTGTACTGAATGTAATAATGTGATCATAACAGTCATGAATTATTAGCTAGTGCCTTTTACATGATAGGTAGCAACATACTCCTGGTAAGTTAAACCTGAAGAACCAGTTTCTATACAGTAGCCTCTTATTTAACCTGATGATTAAAAAGCACATTTCCACTGATGATGGTGGGAATCATGATCATCATTATCATCAGTCAGGTCTTCTGTTTCATCTGAAAAAGCTTTTTCCTCTGCTACAAGAACATTGTCCTACTAGTGCTGAATTAGATTAACACTAATACTTTTGTTTAAAAAAGCTTTTCTAAAAATGCATTCATCAGGACAAGCCTTAAGATAAATGACAGAAAGAGTAAAAAAAACTGGATACAGATATCATGATACAATTGTCATAGAAGAGTTATGAATGGAGGAATCCCAAAAGACAAAAAATTTATATTACTCTTAAACATTATTCATAATGGGGAATTTGAGTGCTGACAAAAAAAGGCACTGATAAAGAGTGGCTTCTTGATTGTAATTTTTATTTGATGTGCCACATATGAGTCACTGAAAGAAATATTAAATATTTCTGCATACTTAATTTCTTGCCCCTTTCACATTTCTTTTGATTTTCCTTCTATATCATAGAGAGTCCCTGGAAAGTTTAAGAAGCTCTTCACTGAACTTGAAAGTTTGACAGTAAGTAGGCTTTCTATGGAAAAAGATTTTAGTTTCCTGGTTGTACTCTCTTATTGCTTAATGGAAACATCATCTACAGTTGAGGTTTCCTAGCTTCATATAATTCAAATGGTGCATCTCTTTGTGTGGGTTATATCCAAAAACTGAATGAGTACATCTTAGTCCACTTTCCTTATCTACCTCATTTTCCAAGGAAACCTTTTTATATTTAAATGTTATATGTTTTACATGTTAAGCTTATGGGTATGTAGTAGAGTTAAAATTGTCCTTCTTAGAAAGTGTTTCATTGCAATCAAATTGTTTTGGCAGGATCCTTCTTTGAATCACAAAGCCTACAGGGATACATTCAAGAAAATGAAGTCTCCAAAAATTCCCTTCATGCCTCTACTCCTTAAAGGTAGGAGTCCACATTAACTTACCGACATTAACTTTTTATATACAATTATAGTACAAAATTCTATACCCATGTTTATTCAGAACTAAGTTCCTCTGTTTAATTTGACTCATG